ATCTCACTAATTAATATTTTTAAACGTCACAATAATTAACATTTTTAAATTCTAATATTTTTTATATTAAGATATTTATGAAAAGGAAAAAATAACAGATATGTAAAGAAGAGAAACGTAAAATGTTGAAAACAACATATGAAAATAAGAATAATGTAAGATTTAGTTATTAGAATATATATAAAATAATTTCTTAGATTAAGAATATTTGTGAATGGTAGATGTGCTAATGGGAATAGAGAATGACACAAAGACAATGAGTGCTTGCAAAAAGATAGAAAGAGTGATACCTCTCAAAATAAAAAAATTATGAAGACGGAAATTCATACTCACATTGAAAAGAATGAGAGAAAAATATGAGTTGTTAAAAAAAAAGTATAGATAAGTTTATCAGTATATTTTTTTTATATAATTTTTTTTTTAAAAGAACTATACTAAATAATGCAGTGAAGATAGACAAAAAAAAATAGTGAATTTGCGCATACCAAAATGAGAAAGTCATCGAATTATGTCGCCTTACAAACATTTATTTTATGAGATTCAGCCAAAACGTCGTACATGAAAAGACTCAGTCATCCAAAATTTATTTTTATAAATTTATTTGATAATAAACTTGTTTTTACACAAATCACTCTTTGTGTAACAAGGAACATTTAGTTCATGATGACCTATATTGATGCAATAAATAGTAAAACTATTATTTCCTGAATATTTTCCAATCAAAACTTCTTAAAAACCGATCTAATGTGAAAATTAATGTTACCAACTAGATTTATATTTTCGATTTCAAGGTTCAACTTCAAAATGACGAAATTTCATTTAGTTCAACTATGAAGGAATCAGGACAACAAGACATCTACATACAACTATGTACAATATCTAGTTGTCAAGGACCCCACAAAAAATAAAATGTTGTAATATAAATTTTTTTAAAGGGTAAAATCGACAATTCATAATGTTATGTTCGCCCTACTTAAATCTAATCGCTAACATACAACTATGTACAATATCTAGTTGTCAAGGACCCCACAAAAAATAAAATCTACCACCACATACGTCTAAAAAAAATGCTCAAACGTGCTAGTTGAGTAAACCGTTACTCTGCCTCGTTATGACAGAGTTATAAAATAACTCTGTCATAAGGATTAACTCTGTCATGTTACGACAGACTTATTTCGCAAAATCTGTCAAGTAACTCTATATCCCTCATTAAGTCTGCTGCCAGTACATGTTACTCTTCCGCATAACTCAATTTTTTTATAACTCTGCCACCACATACGTTAAATCTGTCACGGTGCTATTTTAGTAAACGTAAAGTCATCATAATCTGTCATGTAACTCTGGTTTTTTTTCAACTATGCCACCACTGTAATTAACTCAATCAAATAACTCTATCGCCTTATTACTCTATCACATAACTTATTCAACCTAATAACTCTAACGTGATAATCTACCAAAACCTATTAACTCTATCGTCACTACAACGATAGACTTTTGATGTGGAGGAAAATTTTTCCTCTTAAAACTCACTTTCTCTCTCTGATGTGGCAGCATCTTTTAATGGCAGTTTTGTAATAACTTTTTTCCTATAACAACAATTCAAGGGTTATTTGACCATTAATGATCAACAAATAGTACAAGCTATATAAGTAATAAACACACTTTTATGTGTTATTTGAGTAACTCACCCTTAACTTTATCTATCTTTTTATCTACTTTATGTTGGCTTTGGAGAAAGGCCCTAACTGTTGTTATTGAAACTTTGGGATCTAAGATTCCTTTTATCTATGTACTTGAGTTCTACCTTAATGGAATGAAAACAAGTTTTAGTTCAAAAAAAAAAAAGTGTTACAAACTAAAATATTTAAAATTTTATAGTAGTATATAAAATTATACGTCAAAAAATATGTATGAAATTGAATATCAACACTCAAATCCTGACCCGTTACTCAAGCAAAATTTTTGTTGAATTGATATTTGTTTAAAAAAACTAGGGGTTGATCCGCGCTCTGCGCGGGGTAAAGAGTTTCCTCGATTATTCGATTAAAATTTAATAATTTGGTTAAATTTACTAAGTTAAGTATTAGTATTAAAAACCAAAAACAGTCGCGTAGTATATTGTTTATTCTCAATTATTAGACTGTTTGAGAAATTTTGTAAATAACATAGTACTAGATTTTAACCCCGTGGTACACCGCAAGATGATTATTTTTAAAGTTAGTTTATATAAAATTTTGCAAATTGTATATCTTTATAAAATATATATATATATTTTATAGTTTACAATTGTTATTAAGTAACGGTATACTATGAGTACACAAGACAATTGTTAATAAACTGAGGATTTAATCCGTATCAAAGCGGTATGTTAATGATATTTTAAAATTTTATAAATATTGATTCAAATTTTTTCACCATATAACCCTGTTCCGAAATATAACATGTCCTGTAATTTCTCAACCCGTCCCGTAATTTATTTCCTAAAAGTAGTAATTTTAAAATTTAACGATTATTTATTATATATAAAAGTTTTCAAATTTTATCATTCTCTAGGACATTTAATATTTATAGTTTACAATTGTTAGTAATAACATTATATCACGGGATAATTTTTGTTTTTAATTATACAATCGTTTCTAAATGAGACTGATTTGATATGTCTAATATTGGTGGTATTAAAAATAATTAAGGATTTAATCCTTATTGAAGCGGCGGATTAATGATATTTTAATTTTTTATTATTGTTGATTCAAAAACTTTGTCCCGCCAAACCCGTCCCGCCAAAAAACCATTTATTTTATTAATGTTGATCTTATTTATGATATGATTCTGAATCATTGTCTAAATATTTTAGTCGATGTGGAACGTTGAACACACATTTTTGTCAATTGGATAATATATGTCCGTTTTAAAAATTTTGAATCACAGTATATGCAGAAAAAAATTAATTTTTGACTTTATGTATTATATGATGATTCAAAACAGTTAAAAACAAATCAAACAAAGATTATAGGAGAATCATAATTCTAACTCTTAGTCAAATTTTATAAATATCTAAATTATTAAACATGAAATATTCGGTGTATGAGTTGGGTTAAATATAATCTGACCGAACAAACGGGTCAGATTAAACACAAAATTGTATTGTATTAAAATATTTTTTAAACGGGTCGGATACCCATTGTATCCAAATGCATTTTACCTCATCCGCTAAAAATGTACTTCAAAAAACTAGTATAGATAAGGAATATTCGGTATATGACTTGGGTTAAATATACCCGACCGAACAAACTTTTTATGAACAAAAGTTGTAAACGGGTCGTATACCCATTGTATCCAAATGCATTTTATCCCACCCGCTAAAAATGTATTTCAAAAATACTAGTATAGATAAGAAATATTTGGTGTATGAGTTGGGTTAAATATAACCCGACGTAACAAACTTTTTATGAACAAAATTTGTAAACGGGTCGAATACCTATTGTATTCAAATGTATTTTGCTTCACCCATTAAAAATATACTTCAAAAGTACTAGCATAGATATTGTTTATTCTCAACTAAAGTCTTCAATTTTTTTCGTTCTCATATGAAACTTCCAGTTAATTAACTTTTTCTAAATAAACGTACAAATCGTATTGTATTAAAATATTTTTTACAAACGTACATGACTTGGTTATAAAGAAGTAGAGAAAATTGTATTGTATTAAAATATTTTTAGCTGCATTAGAATTGTATTGTTTGTTTATATGAGATTGACAATTTATTTGGTTCAATTAGGTATTCATAATTGCATTGTGTCATTGAGAACAAAAAAAAAATAGTTGTGTTGTGTTAAAGTTTCCAAAATGTTTTTATGTAATAGTAGAGAGAAGAGAATCGCAAGATATATACATGGAAGTGATGAAGCATGTTGGTTAATTGCATAGCCTCCAATAGACGGCTTACAGTCTCCATCATCTCAATTAATTGTAACTCTTCCGTGTTGTTCAATCGAGGAAAATATATACACGGGCAAGATGAAAAATGATTACTACCTACAAAAGAAAAGAAAAAAATGATTACTAGCAATTTCTCACAACCCTAAGCATCAAACAAAATATATGATCTAATACGATGCATTGGATATATGATAACAAATAAAATATAGTTTGGAATTTTATATCTTACCAATGATAATACATCAACAAGACAACAACCAATGTAGCCATATCCTGAAGACAATCACCGATAGTATCCTTCACAATACCTGACCGATCCGATCATCAATCCTACAGAGAAAAAGTTTTCAGCTCTAG